AGAAATTCTAGTAGTAATATATATATATATATATATATATATATATATATATATATCCGTTTTCCGTTAAAACATTTTTTGAGTTAACCATATTTCTTTTCCAATAAATATGTAAAAGTTTGGTTTTAATTTTTCAATTTTAAAACGTTGACTTTTGGTGTACCTTTATTCAAATATGCTAAATTTTATCTTTGTAACTATTTTCAATAATTCATTTTAACAGTGAATGTTTAATGTATATTTAAATATCAGTTTAAAATCACTTCAAAAAAAAAAAAAGAAACGGGTTCAAATGTTGAAAAAGAAAAAGTTTGTAACTTGTAATTATAATTTTTTTAACCCAAATACACTCTTAGTCGGTACCACTATTTTTTTACCTTTAAATTAGAATACTTGTATATGATGGGATTGATGAATAAGCGTAACTGTTAAATTAAATTAACATAATTTGTGACTAAAATAAAATTTGATATATTTAAAAAAAGAGTTAATTATCTATACACTGTCTGTTAAAGTTTTTTTACATTGACAACTAATCATATCTTTTAATAGTGTTATGTCAGTTACTTATTTAATGAAATAAAAATAAAATAAAATAATTTAAAAGATTTCATTGTTTGCAGTGTAAAAAACTTTACACTGGCAGTGAATGAATGATTAATTCTTAAAAGAAATGACCAAAAGTTTTTTAAAATGAGGACTAAATCAATCTTTTAAATATTTATGAGAAGAAAAGCATGTTTGAACATTTCGAAATGCGTTAATTAACTTGGCTAATAAATATTTTTTCAATAAGTAATGAGAGATGGGATTGAACATTTTGAAAAGTATTAATTAAGGTTAATAAATATTTTTTTTTGCATTAAATGAAAAAGATACAATAGGATTAATTATTTTGAAAAGCATTAACTGGTTAATAAATATTTTTTTCACTAAATTAAATGAAGGACTCATGATATATACACCTTTATTTTTTTTAATAAGTACACCTTTTTTTTTCAAAAAAAAATAATTAAAATTTTAAAATATCCTTAATTTTATAATTTTACACTCCAACATTTAATTTAGCATTTTTTTTTCTTTTTTCTTTTCCACAAACCTCCTTCCCTCTTTCTTTTTTTTTTTTTCTTTTTTTTTCTTTCAGTTTTCATATGTATCTCCTTACCTTTTCTCTACTCCACCTATTTCAGTATATAATTTTAATTATTTCAATTTTACATTACTCTCTTTCCCCTTGTCTTTCAATTTTCTCGCTATTATCTTCCCTCTCTCCGCTTTTAGTTTTTACATGCATCCATAATGTAGAACTAGTTTTCAATAACATTATAGCTGTGTGTGACTTTCTTGATAGTGTCGAAAGTGGCGAGTCAAATGTGCATTTTTTCTTGTAGCACTTCTCTCATTTACACGTCTAAAAATTACAAAATCAAATAATTTTAGTGTTTAAGAAATTTCTTTTTGGAATAGTAAAATTAATGTTACCGGAAGCATGTTTCGAAATTGAGTTTTTAACATACTTCTAAAAAGTATTTTCCGAAATACTAAATTTACTTTTCTGAAAAGTATTTTTTAGAATTATGTGAAACAACATACTTCCAAAAAATATTTTTTGGAACATTAGTTTTATTATTCTATAAAGTACTTTCTAGAAGTGTGTTATTTTACATATTTCCGGAAAGTTCTTTCTGGAGCAGAAAATTTAGTATTTTGGAAAATACTTTATGGAATTATGTAAAATGACATACTTTCATAAAGTACTTTTTGGAACATTAACTTTATTATGCTAGAAATTATTTTTCGAAAGTGTGTTATTTTACATACTTCCAGAAAGTACTTTCCGGAACAAAAAATTTAGTATTCCGAAAAGTACTTTCCGCAAGTATGTAAAAAATACAATTCTAGAAAGTTCTTTCTAAAATACTAATTTCACTATCCTTCACAATGCTCTGGAATAATGAAAATATCTTTTTCATAACATTAAACTTAATGTTAAGATTTTTGGAGCAATGAAAGGAGAGAAAGTGTTGGAAGAAAAAATGTGTCTAGTTC